TGTACTCTCCAAAAGCACTAAATGTCAGCCCTGTACTCCCCTTATTTTGTCTGTTGTCATCCTTTTATTGACGGCGTTGTTTTAGCCGTTTATTTAGACCGTTTAATCCGCAAACGGTCAATGATCAACTGTTGAAGCATTTAGTGAAATTTATTATTCTAAATGTGTTGTCAGCTAGGAGAGAAGCAATGGGGTTGGGTATCAGAGAGTGAACATGCATGTTGCTATTTTCAAATGAGATTTTGCTTAATCTAAAGACAAATGACGTTCTAAGTGTTGTATCTTGTGTTTGAATTGCAATAAATAAATCATAGACATAACAATATTTTGAAATTTTTTAATTTTTGCATGTTAAAAGTTTATTTATTATATATTTATATTATATTTTAATAATTAAATTAAATAAATATAGAAAATTGTGAAAACCTAAATGATATAACAATAACTTTCCATACGTAACCAAGACAATGATTTTTCATACCTAACCGATCAATGATCAAAAAGATTTGAAAAGATGCATTCAGATTGTTTAATTAATTTTAAATATGACAAGGAAAAAATTAGTTTAAATTCATTGAACGGAGGGGGATTTGTTTTTGGAATTTTTTAACATATGCATTTATGGCATAAGTTAAATTTTATTTATTATAATATTTATCTTTAATTTTACATAAATTTTTATAAAAAATTTAAATAAAATATAATATATTAAAATATAATACAATATTTATATTCAAAATATAAAAAAATACATAAATTTTTATATCAAATTTATATATTTTATATATTTATTTATAGAATTCTTCAAAAAAAGATAAAATATAAAAATAAAATATAATATAATATTTTACTTCAAAATTTATAAAATATTATGAATTTGATATAAAAATTTTTATAAAATTAATTAAAATTTTCTTAATTAATAAGTTTAAAACTGTATTTTTTTTTTTGAACAATTTTGCAAGTACGGATTCCAAATGGACTAAGCGATGATGGAACCTTTGATGACGGATTCGAACAATTTTGCGATTAAGATCCCCATAAGTCGTAAAGGAATTTTTTTATATAGAAATTAATTCTCTCTCTTCTTTCCCCTTTCCTCTCCCTTCTCTCTTGCTTCTGCCTCTCTTCTTCGACGCTGCATTTGTTTTGATCGGAAGCCTTTGAGCTTCCGAGGTTTTGATGCTTGAGCCGCTGGGCTCCCTAGCCGCTCAAGCATGCTGGAGCCGGCTTGTGCTCCCTCCTCCAATGACCCTTCGAGGTCTGTTGGTTTATGTGTCCAATTCCGGTGACCTCTTTTAGTTTTTTGTTTTCTGGTTGTTTTGTTTAGTTTTATGTTCTTGTACAGTTTGTTTTTTCAGATCCGGCGACCCTCGGCTCTTTCCTGTTGATCTTGGTTGGGGTTCGTTGGTTTTTTCTTTTTTTGTTCTATTTGGTGCAGATCTGGCGGCCTTCTTTCTCCTCCGATGGATCTGAGGCGGTGCGCGCGAGGGCTACCAGATCTGACGCCCACCGCGGCTCTCCTGTTGGTTCCGAGGGACTTCCGCCGCCAAATCGGGTGACCGCCCGGCATCCTAGAGCCTGGTGCTATTTCTTCAAGGGTAGATAGAAGGTGTCCCGTATGGATCGGTCGACCGAAGGCCATGGTATTTTCGGGGTCGTTCGTGGTTGTTCGAGTGCTGAGTGCACCTCCCTTCAACCTCTGGATATGGGTCTACTCTGATCTTTTGTTCCAGTTGTTTTTACTATTTGTTATCTTTGTAGATGCCGTATGGCGGTATTTGTAATGAATCCATTCCATTATCCTCAAAAAAAAAAAAAAAAAAAAAAAGAAAGAAGCGTTTTCTCAACAGGTGGTTTTATAAGAATAATTTTTTTATATAATTTTTTATATAATTTTTACA